AGGCACCAGCCTGAAACGGGACACGTTGCTTGGGGAGAGGGAGGTGCCCCTTAAAGATCTGCTGCCTGGCTTTTAGTGCCAACCACAACAGACTCCACTGAACAGGAAGTACAGTCAGCCTGGACTGAATCCAGAGCAAACAAAGTGTCCACTATAATGTTGTTTTTCCTTTTTTCTTCCTGCTGCAAGAGGTGACCTTTCCAGTTAGAAGACTGAGAGTGTGTTATTGACAAGGGTTCTGTTTGTCCACATGTTCTGTGTGTATGTTCAGGGCGTGTCAGTATTTGAACTGTACATAAAGCTCGCTGTAAGTGTCCTTTCAAAAGTGTGTGTGTGTGTGTCTGGCTCACTATGGCAACCCATGTCTGTAGAAGCCAGCTAACATCTGTACAGCTGGTGATGCAGCTGCTTTGCACTGTGCACATGTACAAAGAGGCTTTGAAGTGCCACAATGGCAAATGCAAATGCATGCTTCATATCTGGTTTGAAATTCTAAACTTGTGAGCGTGACAAAGACTTTTGTATTTGCTATCACTGTAGTGCCAGACTTTCCCTGTAAGCCTTTTCTTCAATCTTATCACTGGAGCATGTGAGTGATCTTCTTGTTGAATTGTTCTTGCTTATAGTCCTTTGGTTCTATGCTATAATTCTGCTTATTTTCACTGAGTAGTTTTGTGGGACAAATTCACCCTCCAGCCTTACAAACGAGATAAGCTGCACATGTCGACTGGTACATCGCAAAACGAACATCTATTAATTAGACTTATTGTACAACACTAATCAATTGTGAATAATGTAAATAATTGCCTATCATGTTGTACGTGTGTATGACAGACCTTCAGTATACTTGAGTACTTGCACAATTGTCTTGGCATGTTTGTTGAAATTTATGTGAACGGCTGAGACAAACTTGCACAGATAAATGCATAAGCTTTTTCTTACCACTTGTTGAACACATTGGCTGTAACGGAACAGCTAATGGATAACAATTGTATAATGTAGTGCCAATATTTATTTTACTGTTTTATGGAGTTGAGATTTATACTTTTCCATGGCCATATCAAATGATTTCAGTATAGCCAATTATAATTCCTTATTATAAATCATCTTAATAGCATCAGTGTAATGGGCCAAAAATGGCCACGGGTCCTTGTAAGCCTTCTTATTTTTCATTTACAGAGCCCTGAGAGCTCTATAATCTAATTAGCATTTAGGAGTCTCTGCAGTATAGCACAAATGAAAGCTAAAGCCACTGTTGGCAGACATCAGGCTTTGTCCAGTAGACAATAGCACTTCTAGGCTGTTTTTTTTTTTTGGTCGTTTACTCTTTTTTTTAAATTGAATATCTCACAAATAACCTAATTTTAGCTTGCTAGTAATAACTCCTAAGGGTGAGAACTATTAGAGAGATGTCTGTGGTACTAGAGGTGTTGGCTTGCTAGAGAGAGAGAGAGAGAGAGAGAGAGAGAGAGAGTCATCCAATGACAGCCTATATTTTACACTCTATAGTATCTGCAGGAACCAGACCATTTTAAATCCATTTTCTTGGTTTTCTGCGGAAACAGTTCTTACTTTGACGGCACCAATCATACATTTCTAGCTCTATTTTGAGCACTCATTTGCAACAGTCAAATTGCAGGTATTAGATTCGCTATTAGCTTTACTTCAATGGCAGGTACTGTGATTCTCTACATGAACAGCAGAAGTACAATTACACAAGGGGGAATGACTTCTGACTTCTTGAAATCTCTCAAATTAAAATGGCTGAAAGAAGGCCCTGCACTCTTTGGTGGAAATGAAAGGACTCAGTGAGGGCATTCGATTGATATTCATTTCACTATCCGTGTTTCTGTAGATGAGATTAAACTGTCTGGCGCTTGTGTTTAGAACCGAATATAAAAGATAAAGTGCCTATCCACTGAACTTGATGCCTGTCCCTCTGTCTGTCAAGACGTAGGCCTCTGTGTGTGACCGTCCTCTTCCCTTATTACTGTGTGCAGATGCATTATCAACACTACCTTTATTAAGTCCAAATAGACGTACTGTAATATTGTACCTCCGAGTTATATTGTGTGGGTGTTTCTATATTTTCTGATGCTGAAGGTGGATATTGTTGGTTTTGAGTGGATGCGTTCGTCATTGTGGGCTTTTATTGTTTATTACACCAAGCCGAGATTCTAGCAGTGACTTTATTCTTTGCCCGACTCTGTTTTCTGAAACTGTTTCACGTTTATTTCTCCTTTCCAATTTTACACTGATCCTCCAAATCCAAAGTGAAACATGGAATTGACCTGTCTATTTTGGTGCCTCGTTCAATAAAAGTTGTGTAGATGGTGATTTTTCTTGCTGTCTTTTTTTCACCTACACACTATGAAGAATAAAATGTAACAGTATCCGTATCCTCAGATATAGACATTTAAAACACTTTAGAAACCCGATATTAAAAATGAGCACAGCCTGTGATTTTCATATTATATAAATTAATTTGGGTTCTTAGAATTTCAGTAGTCATATGGTATAAATAAGTAACCTGAAATGCTTATTGTGCTTTATACACAGAAAATCATAATCTTTAGTGGATATTCATTATCTTGTGACACTACAAGATATACAGTAGATTTATGAAACTTTTAAGTAAAACTCCACCCTGAAACATATTAAATATGTTTATACTGAAATATTTGTGATGTGTTTAGTGATTCTGGTGCTAATTTGTTGGTTGGTGCTGTATTTTCTGTATTGTTATGAGAGATTTGTGGTTGTACTCACTCCGACATCACAAGCACAGTTACAGTGGCATTTAATAGGAGAAAATTCTTCAACAATCTCAAACATAAGGGATAACTGTCAGGTCTCAGTGTTAGCTCCTAAAGAGCAATATATGATGCACTTGCACTGAGTTACAGCAGGGGCTCAGCTAGTTAGCGATCTACAAGACGACAAATATGATGGCGTCGATGGTGGCATTAACATGAAATTTAAAGCTCTGGTAGCTGATCTGTTTGAGCAGAGTGTACAGGTGAGGAGGTGAGACAGCTGTATAGATTAGAGTACTAACTGAGTGCTGCTGCATCGCTATCTTTAGGTAGAGATGAAGCAAGGAATGAAGCAGTGCAAACTAAAAACTCAGACTTTCATTACAAAATAAATTAATATGCAAGTTGTTCAGGGTGGATTTTTCCTTTAAAATGTAAAAGCTATTAATAAGCTGTACATTTAAAAGACTGAAAGTAGCACTAGCTATAATGGACATAAATGTAACAATTACATATGTCAATGTAACTGCTAATTCTTAACATTACTTTTAAACAGTATTCATTATTATTAGTAAATGGACAATGCTACATTAGGGATATTGTATCTGTTTGATTAAATGACCGCTAAAGAAGGTTGTTGATACATTTTTCAACACTGTTTTGCTGTACAAGTGACATAACAGTGATTTATGTACTATAAATACATAGTATCTAAATTTAACTTTGGCTGGACCTCTCCAGCAAGCTCTTGTGACAAATAGTGGCTAGTTGTTAACCGCAGGTCAACAACTCATCAACCAATTAAGACAGACTGAATGAACCACAGCACAGATGTCCCACACCCACTCACAGGCTTATCACACTCATGTGTTTCCTTACAGACCAAAACAGCACTTGGAAAAAAACAGGGATGAAAACAATATATTTTAGCTCATGTGTCCAGGTGCAGCCTTGACTAGCATGCTCTTTTCAGATGACTAGCAAAGAGCTAGCTTCACTGAAATGTCTTGGTGACTAGTCAAGTTAGCAAGATAAGTGTATTTCAAGTGTATTATTCGTACCAAGCAAGCAAGAAAGTCAGTATTTTCTCAAAGTTCTACTGTTTTAAGTAGTTACAACTCAAAATTTACCTCAGCACTTTAGCAAGCTAGCTTGTAGTAAATGAACTGGTATATTGGTGGGATGAAAAAATCTAAAAACTGACAACATCAGGCGAAATTCTACGAACAAGTCTAGTGGTATAATGCTATACTTTGTAAAATTAAGTGAGTTTTTAAGTAACTACATAGAAGTGGAACTGCTGACACAACCCAAAGGTAAGAAGAATTAAATATAAGCTCTGAAAATGAGGTTTGATGGAATAAATAATTAGCTCCTGAAAACATTTAGAATTTCTTATCCCTATGTAAATGAGCTACACTTATTGTAATAAAAGTTAACATGCTATAAGCTACTAGTAATTAGATGCCAATGGTTTACAAGCTGCGGTCTAAGGAAGATGTGTCTGAGAGCATAAACATTACTCTTTTACATATCACATTAAGGACTCAGGGTTTCTACTGGGGTTTCCATGGTAACAAAGGCTACGATGTATAGTTCAGTTTGGCCTCCAGTTGGTAAGATACGCATTTTGCAGCCTCCTTTAAACAGCTGTTTTTTCTAATCTTCTTTATAACATGCCAGGACCTAATGTCCTTGAGGGCAAAGGTTGCAACACTTCTTCTTCCTCAGCCCATGAAACCTGCAATATATCTTCTAAACCAGCAGTCACACAGATTCAATAAGGGCTTGTTGGAGAATAATAACTTTCTTACTCAGTGGTTCCTATACCCAGAACCAAAGACCTCATTCTCAGCAGATTTTTGTTTTGCACTAAAAAAAAAAAAAAAAATTAGCCTTGAGACTAGAGGCAGTAGACTCGAGATTTCCACCCCATTAAGGTAAAAAAAAAAAAAAACAATTATAGAAACACAGCTAATTTTATTAATGTAGTTTTTCTTATGATGCATCACTCATGAAGATTTTCATCTTACAGTTGTTTAGATTTTAAATTAAAGATGAATGAATGAATAATTGAACTGGTTCACCCTTTGAACTGTGATCACAATGTAGCTCACAGTGGGTTTCTCACTTATTGCTAGATCAAATCTGTTCAGCACTTAATAGCCCCAGGTACAATTCCATGATGCCAGTAATATTTTTTTCCATGATTTTCCATGAATATTCACTGACATTCTTTTTGGTTCTCTGGTGGACTAGTGGCTAGCATGCGGCACTCTCACCACCGTGGCCTGGGTTTGATTCCCGGTCAGTGAACCAACCCTAGCCACTGGAGAGTTGCAAGAGGCAGTGCACTCTCAGTGCCCGTCCCAAGCCCAGAAAATGGGGAGGGTTGCGTCAGAAAGGGCATCTGGAGTAAAACTTGTGCCAGGATCAAAATATGCAGATGTGTGATCTGCTGTGGTTACCCTGAACAGGAGCACCTGAAAGAGGAAAAAACAAAAAGCTAACTGACCTTATTTTTCAATTTTGACATTAACAGAAGGTGAGCAAAAGGTTAAATGCAACAGTAAATCGGTAGGAATAACCAAAATATCAATAGGTTGACATGAAAGGTCTTAGAATTGGCTTGAATTTCATTTCCCTTCAGTTTTATATGTGTAGAGCTTTTAACAATTAGACAAAGCAGCTTCACAGAAATCTGGATGTAGATTTCGATCCCTAAGGAGCAAGCTAGACATGACAGTGGCAAGGAAAAACTCACTGAGACGACAAGAAACCTTAAGAGGAACAAGACTTAAACGGGAACCCATCCGCATCTGGATGACACCAGATACTGAGACTATACTGTAAATTATTAAGGGACCAGGAATCATAGAACCAAGTCCAAGCACCAGATTTTGTCCTCAGTAGAATGAGGTTAATAATAAACTACTACACATATAACAGCCCAAAATCTAACCATGTACATTATAGTGGTATTTTGAGATGAAACGACATCAACTGGATAAAACAACCAAAATTCATTAAAAGCCCTAGCTTGGAGGCTTGCTCATCTGATAATTCTAGTCAGATAAATTGGGCACTTGATGCATTTAGCTCCTTATTTAAATTGTCACTATTTGACTTGAAAGTCAAATCTTTTCTGTAATGACTGCTACCTCTGAAATGTTATTAAGAGATCTAAAACTATTGATCCTGGTGGCTTTGACTCTTCTAAACCAAATGGCAAATGTTGCTATAGCAACTCAGGCACCATTGTCTTATGATGAAAAGGATAAATATGGGGTTGCACAAGTTAAGTGGGGAATATTGTTTCAGATTTGAGGCACAAACAGCTAAGGAGGAATTGACTTACAGAGCTGTCAAATTATCTGTACTGATATTGCAAGATTCCAGAAGGTTCCCCATATGGTAGCCTTCAGGCTATGACCCCTCCACTGTGATTACTCATCTGGCATTTCTCTTCTCTAGGGGATTTCTGCTTCAAGAACCTTCTGTACTGTTCTCTTTGTCACGTTTAAACATAGTTTACCTAGTTGTGGCAGACTTTCAGGAAATGTTTTAAGGCAGAAATGCTTTGAGAAATAAAAAATAGCAGCTCAATTCCATATTCACCCTTTTTTGCTTTAACATGGGACATGTCTGACCAAAGATGCTAAATGAATATGAATGAATATGAATATGATGAATATATTCGTTTTCACTGATCGCTAGTAATTTCACTGATTGGTACTAATCATCAAACGCAATCTCACACAAATGTCATTGGAATTCTAACTCTAATTCTAAGGTGTGTGATTTTTGCTGGATTTCATACAAATGAAGTTATGATTGTTAACCCTGCCCCTTTTCCCTAACCTTAAATGTTAAGAATATTTTAAACAATTCAGAGCACATAAATAATGGAAAGACTGTATTGAATCAACATATTAAAAAAAAACTAAATATTGTCAAATCTAAACAAATTTGACTTCTTATGAAATGTCATCGCAAGCTAATTGGTCATCAAGCACAGCTAGCAGAAAACAAATCATTTGTGTTTAGGTGGATTACTATCTACTACCAACAAACAAAATCGCCAACAAACAAAAAAGGTTCATTTTAAAAGAAAGAGCATAGCATTGGTGTACTATGCTCAAAAGTGGAACGTAACAAGCTACATGTACTCTTGTCACAGTACCAGAGGACATGGCTCACTGTAATGGCGCTTTAGCAGAGTGAGCTAAACTTTAGATATTTTGCAGTGTGAAAGCTCTGTATTAAATTTATCATCTAACTTTGATATTCAGTAGCGATTTCCAGTTGCGTTAAATATCTAAGTGCTGCTCCAGCCTATAGGTAACATGTAAGGATACTGTGTAAGGGGCATCTTTACTAGATAACTAGAAACATGTATGAATTAAAGTATGAATTAATAATGAGCTAGCTAGCTAGCTAGCTAACAAGCAAGCTACTGAAATCCCAACAACATTTGGCTAAGTTAGCTAGCGAGTTAGCCATAACTGTTGATAATGGAGGGGGCGTTCACTTCAGCATAGCTCACTTGGTTAGTTAACCTAATTGTTCAAAAATGCTTTCCTCAGATACTGTACATTTTCTATTAGTTGTGTCAAGTATAGACATGTAAAATGTAATTTGTAAAATAATTACTCAGGTAGAGTTTGATTTATATACTCCTTATTTACTTAGTCATTTTCTTTATCACTACTTTTACTTTTACTCAAGTGAATTATGGCTTTTATTCAAGTCAGGGTGCTCTGTACTCTTTCCACCACTGGCTATGTTTCTATAGCTTGTAGAGATATCTAACTAAAGTACTAACATAAGATTGAATACCGCTGTTACATATGATTAACGTAAATGCTCCACAGCGTGTATTCCCTATTAAGAGATCTGCAATATGATGGATGAAATACAGCAAACACTGTGCAAAATATTACAGGTAAATAGTCTACTTTGATGTGGAACAGGAAAGGAACTGTATTAAAAATGAAAAGCGGACGGGGTAATCATATGCTGTGTGCCTCTATTCAGCATGGAGTGGTGAGTGGCACAGCTTTGGAAGTGTGGTTTGATTGGTGTGTGTCCGCTACTGAGAAGCCTTTGAGAATGTAGATGAAAGACTTTGCTTTGTTGATCCAGAGTATGGTTCAGTGAATTTCGAATTTCATGCTTTGTTTTTAAACCAGGTTTATGAATGCAATAAAACCAATTTGTTTCAGGGCTACTGTAACTTTCCCACTTTGTTTATAGTCTCCTCACTTTCTTTTTTTACCAAGCAGATCAGAGGGTTGCATCATTTGCTAATTTTCCTCTGGAGAGTAGGCTCAAATCCTTCTCTACATGAAGCAGAATATAATCAGCTGCTCCAAAATGCATTCAGATGCTGTTTATGATGGAGTTATTTGCCAGTTTATCAGCTGATTATTTAGTTTGTCATATACAGTATATACGTCTCATATCCAGTATCTGCAATATTATGTAGTATACACTGTTTATATTATGTATCATGCTCTATGGCTGTGTGTGCGTGTGAAAGTAATGATACAGAGGACACAATAAGGGTGTAAATGTCACTTTTTTTTTTTTTTGGTCCTGACATACAGCCCAGTCGGTAAGCAATCTCTAAACATGCTTTTGTGTTGCTGCCATAGCAACATGCAAAACTAGTTGTGGCTGTTTTATTTCCAATTTGGGCTTTCCAAACTCCCTAAATTGGCACCTTAGGAAAGCATTGCAGCACAGCAACAAGATCTTGTCTTTGTAAAATTAAGAGATATCGAGGGAGACCTTTTATTTCTCAAAGGTATCCACTGAAAAGACAGTGGTGGAATTTTATGGTAGCACTGCCAGCCTTCGAAAAATCATGAATATTTCACTGGAACTTTAATTCCCTAGAAACACTGTGTGGAAGCAGGCGCATCGCTTCCACACTCATTTTCCTGTTGCTTTCTCGCTTTCTATTACAGAGCCACGCAGGTTCATGTTTTTACTGATTTACACAAAATATAGTGGTGTGTGGGAGGCCAGTACTGGGCAGTGTGTTTCTCCATGTTTCTTGTTCTGTCAGCTATCTGTGTGTTGTTGAGGTCAGTCCATCAGACCAAAATACAGAATGTGAGAAAGCATGATTATATTCAGCCTGAAACACCACCTCCATTTTTACTCTATTTCAGTTTCTATCATATGAGTGTCATCTTATCAGGGACTTTTGAATGATCTGGTTGTAGGGTGAAATGGAGGGGAATCAAAAACCATCTGGAGGTCCAAAATAGTTAGATTGGTACCTTCAATCTAGAAGGGAGTTCCACAAGGCTCTATGCTCAGTCCTACTTTGTTATTAATTGTTAAAAATGATTGATCACAAAGTGTTGATTTTTTTCTTTATTTTTTTTTTATAGCAGCACTGACAGTAGTTCCGGCTGTAATTCGAAATCACAGACTTCTATTAATGTGCTTGTCCTAATACATACTCGTTTCTATAGCAACAGCTAATTTACAGGGAATCATATGTTAGTCCTTAATAGCCCCAGGTACAATACTGTATCTACATAATCTACATAAAAATGTGTTATTTAGCAAAGAAGTAACACAAAATGTAAAATAATTGATATGGCGAAGTTGTCCATAAGGATATGTTTATTTAACGATTATGGAAGGAGTCTCCAGCGTCAGCGCTTTCTAACAGATAATACATTTTCCATTACGGGAGACTTCAGGACAGAGGACTTTGCACATTCTGGTTTCTCACTAACATGGCAAGCTACATTATTTTTGTCTTATTAACTTCAAGAAAGATAGAAAAATGAGAGGCTAGTGAGGGACCAACTGTTTATACCTGTTTATAAGAGGAAATTATTTTGCAGACGTTCCACATCATTAAATATAGTATAGTATATAATAATATAATATATAGTATATATAGTATATAAAAATATAATATATAGTATAAACTATAACTATTACCACACCACCATGCCATTGATTGTTTCCCTATTCGATTAATCAGGACGCTGTTGGGTTTCTGTGTGTAGAGTATCGTGACCATGTGTTTAGCTGCTGGCGAGGAGGGCAATGGGAAAGGGCAACTCACACCTCTCCACAATAACATTTGTACAGAGATAAAATGGACAGCACTACTACAGGTTTTTTTTTTAAACTTAGTAGGCTAGATTAAAAAAGGAAATACTTATGGAAAATGGCAAATTCTTAAAGTCCTGAGTGTCTACTTTTTTTATAGAACACGGACGGAAATTCCAATTTTTGGCCTCTGGTAAAAAGAGTTAAGATTGGTTACTGCTATCTTACTTAAG